ATAAGTTAGCAATCCCTGTCAACTGATTTTAATTACATCCAGAGTAAAACATTTCTGCCAGCAGCATTCATTTCTGCAGTCTTTGTTTCCTGTAGGAAATTCTTATTTGTCTTGGCAAGAGCTGGGCTGAACTTCAACACAATTAATGAACAATCATCAAATTAAATATTGGTTGTAAAAGCATAGTGATATTCAGCAAAGTTGATTAAAGAAAGAATAATCAAACAACAAATATTAACACTGAAGAAAGAAGAATTTGAATCTTCTAGAGCCGTTTACAAAAATAATCCAAGTATTTCCTCTGGCAGCAGATCCTTTCTAGAAAAAGAAAGCCATACACCGTGACCCATCGCTATCCACTCCTCAGTTTCAAAGCTCTTCCCTCAGAAAGCAGTTAAGAAAATTTTAGGTGAAGTTTTTCTTTATTATTTTGACCATCTCTGCAACATCTGTAGTATCGTCCACATTTTGCAGCTGGCTAAAACTGGCTGCACTCCTTTGACATCTCCTTAAGCAACAGTATGCACTGATCCTTGGAAAGGATAGCCTGGTGATCACCTGAACTCATTACTTGCCTTTTCAGCATGGCTCTTTCAATGCAGTTGTTCATGGTATTCTGGTGTTTTTGTTTGTTTTTAACTCAAATATTTTATTCATTTGTGATTCAGCTCTGAAAGGCAGCTGAAAAAATATCAGGCTCTGCTAACTAATTACATCTGCAGTTACAACTCTGTGGCTCCATGTCACAACTGGGACCTCACCGCTGCGCCAAACACTGTGTATTTGGGCCTCACCTGATCAATAGGTCAGCATCCCTTTCTTTCCAGGAGGATGGGCTACAGAGCCTTTAAAGGGATATAAATAAGCACTTCTTGGTTTTCAGTAAGAACACATTGGGCTGTGGGTATTCAGTGAGTGGGCTGTGGGTATTCAGTGAGGATGAAAACACAAACCCCAAATGGTAAGCAACTAAACCTGAATTTACAACCAAATTTGCCCCAGACAAAGCAGAAAGAAGGAAAGCGAAAGGTGGGACTGATACATTTCTTTGTCCAAAACCCTAAATGGGTGAAGACTTCACAGACTTCAGTAGCACCACACTGGTTTTACAGCATTTTAGGATCTGGCCTTTGGGAATGTACTGCCTGCTAATGGGGAGACCACCACCAGGCTTTTTCAAGCTAGCAAAAATGCTCAGGAGCATTGATAAAGGATCCGTTCAGACAGTACCAGGTGAACTGAGGTAAAGCCAATCACCGCGAGTCCTCCAGTTGCACCAAATCACTGCTCTGTAAGACTGCATAGAAATTCAGAACAATTGCTTTCAGTTTTTATTGTTAACTAGTACCACCATTTATTCTTGTGAATAATGAACCTTAGAACTGGGTTCTTTATAAACATGTCCCAAAACAGTCACAATTTACCTCTAGTTGTCTCATAGTTGTTGATAGTTGCCAGAGGAGGTGTAAAATACAAGTAGTTTGGGTTCTTTACAGTAAATACTGCCTAGTTGCCATTATTAATTGAGAGAGCAAGCACATTATATAAGAAGATTAGACCATGTCATATTTACAACCTCAGTGTCCCCAGCGAGAGAAATTGCTCAGCTGTTACTGTCAGTGCCTTCTTCAAACAGGAACCCTGCTGACAAGATGATGAATTCAGAACATCGTTGCCAATTAATGATTTGTAGGCAGAAGGGATTTCAATAGTTCCCATATGTCTGTGAGGGTGACTGGGATTTACATCGACTCTTATTACACTGTAGTCTGCTTTGTCCAGACATGACACTAGCGCTTGGAAAATGTCATCTTTGCATGAGAAATTTTAGTAAACAAAGCCAGGCTCTTCAGGTTGAAAATGTTTCCTATAGTCAGTAATAACCTTCTTAATGGTAAAAGAAAGCAAACGGGGAGACTACTTGCGATTGATACCAAAGGTAAGCAGTTCCTTAGATGTTTGTCAGATGTACAAAACACACTGCCCAGACTATCATGATGTCAGCCAGCAGCATAGTGTGCATTGCCTAAATGTGAGCCAGGCTGTGAAAGAATCACTAGTATCAAAGCAAAACTTACATAGCATCTTCCTCAGTGTGACTTACCCTACTAACAGGCTGCAAATTTCCTTTACTCTCCTATAAAAAAGCTCATCCTTGTGAATATAGCAACACGCCAACCAGAAAGCATTTTACTCACAAACAACATCAGCATGTAGTCTGAATGCACTGAATGTAGACATTCTGGACAGCCTAAGGCTGATGTCTTCTATCATCTGAACACCTTTGTGTGCCAACCAGCAGGAGAAATTTGGCACCATGACCTAGGTTAAACAAAGGACATCCAAATGGGGCCCTCAAACTGACTTTGCCAGTCACTGGGAGCTTCATCTGACAGCCATAAGTTTTCAAATATGATGGAGAACAGCTTGACAATTACATCAGCCAGATTCCTTAGGATGCAAGTCATCTGGTCCCATAGGCATGTACACATTCAGTCTCATAAAGTGGTCTTAGACTGGCTCTAACATTGCAGTGGAGGAAGAGTTTGCCCTCCTAGTTCCCACCAAGAAGTTCAGGGACATGAGAAATATGAAAATCCTGGCTGCCAGTGAAGACTGAGGCAAAGCACTCATTGAGTGCTCAACCTCTCCATATCTATTGCAGCCAGTTTTCCTTTCTCATTTATCAGAGGAAGTACTCTCTCTTTTGCCTGTCTCTTCTGACCAATGTACCTATAGAAGCCCTTCTTCTTGTTTTTAACATCCCTTGTCAAGTTCTGTTCCATCTGTGCTTTAGCTTTTCCAATCCCATGCCTGCATGTTCAGATAGCATCCCTATATTCTTCCCAGGTGATGTGTCCTTATTTCCACTGCCTGTATATGCCCTTCTCTCTCAGTTTGACCTGCAGGTCCTTGCCAAACCATGCCGGTTTCCTGCCTCCTCATCCTGCTTTCTTATTCTGAAGGATGGGGAGCCCTTACACCTTCAGATAGGCATACTTAAGGAGTAGGTAGCTTTGCTCCGCTTCTTCGTCTCTAAGGACAGCTTCCCAGGAGATCGTATCCAACCATTCCTTAAACAGCCTGAACTTCACTATCCTGAAGTTCAGGGTCTCAACTCTACTCTTTGCCAGTCCTACATTCCTTAAGAGCACAAACTCAACTAGGGCACGGTCACTGCAGCCCAGACTGCCTCCAATCTTAATGCCTTTAACAATCTCCTCCGCACTGGAGAATACCAGGTCCAACAGCACTTCACCTCTGGTCAGTCTACCCAACACCTGAACCAAGAAGTCGTTGTCAATGGACTGTAGGAGTCTCCTGGATCACTTGCAGCTTGTCATGTTGTTTTCACAACAGATATCTGGGTGATGGAGATCACCCATAAGGATGAGGGATCCCAATATCTCATTAATCTGGTGGTGGAATTTAAGCTTTCCTACAAATAAGAACTATAGACTAACAGTCCAAAGTAATTAAAATAAGAGATCTTTGCTGAGGATGCAGACTGTGGGTGAAGTATAAGAGTAGTTTATGTGGGTATGTCTTACCATAGCAAGGCTTTTTTTTTTTTTTTTTTTTTTTGGCTTTTAAGTCCTTTAAGATCAGTTCAGAATATCTCATGCTGCTTATACACTGTGAGAGGCCAGGATTTGAATGGCAATTAATGAATGTACTCTCTTACTCCAGAAAAATTCTTACAGGTGACTCAAGTCAGTGTCTAGCCATCAGACCCAATCAGTGCATGTTATTTCAAGACATGTAGTTTTAGCCATAATGAGGCAGATTCTTGCTGAAATATCTGGCACATCTCTTTCATCTGCAACAGTCTATGTTTCCTCAGCTTTGGCCAGTGTTCATCTCCGGTCCCCTGTGCAGTGTTAAACAGCAAGTCAGACGTCTTCACCCACACATGGGAGAAATACCTCTATTAGCACATGAAAGCAAAAAAAATTCCTTATTTTGCAATACTGACAGCAGAAAAAAAGAGACTCCCCTAGCAAAAAAAAAAAAGTTTACCAATGAGTTAACTCTTGAGAAGACTTGAAGTACAACAGACTTATACTAGGCTGGGGACTACAGGATCGTGGCCACAGGTCACTTCAGATAGGCACAGATCCATCCTATGCACCAACACTAAATGCCAAAGATAGCTTTCTGAACCAAGGTGAACAGAAAACACAACACTGTCTTCAGCTGGAAGAGAATCTTTCTGCCTTCTCCACAGGTTCCCTTTAAATGGCCATAAGCAGAAGAAGGTAAGAAGATGGGAGATGCAACTGATGATGAAGTAGTAAGTTTTGCAAAAGCAAGTCTGCGCCAAACTTTTCTCTTTCTCACCAAAATAGATTTTCTTTTAAACAGTTACACATCTACAACAGGACAAATTCTACAAACAAATATTCGATACAAAACACCATACTTGCTGTACCACCTCATTGTATGTTGCACTTTCCAAAAAGTATTCAAGTTTTAAACTTCAGACACCCTAGATCACTTCCTCAAGGCCCCTGATTCAGGAGATCTATACTGAACAGAAACTCAGAAACCTCAGCCAGCTGCTTCTGTGCAAATATGCATATGTCATTGAGCATATATGGAAGCATTCTTACCAGTGGAGCTTCACATATAATTCTAAGCATCTTTTTATTAAACTATTTACCAGAGAAGAAAATACCAAACCTTCCCCACTCCACCATCTCTGTCCCCACCTCAAAGAGCAATAGGAAAAAAAAGGTCCCTTAAATACAAACACAAAACATTTCAAAATGGGAAATAAATTTCAAAGCACTGGAGAAACATGTACATAGGTGTGAAGTCCCACTACATCCATCCAAGGCCTCATCACCTGCCACAGCCATTCAAAGAAGCTCAGTGGAAGAGGAAACCCAACCTGCCACAGTCACCTCAACCTGATGAAAGGATATGAAAGAGAAAAAAGCCAAGTCTGCACATCATCCTGGCCACTTTCAGCACAATGACCCCCTGCAAACCCTTACCTTGGCAGGTGTTGTTCTTCTCCTCATACCCTGCCTTGCACAAGCACTTTCCGATGGGCACCAGCCATTCTCCCTCAGCGCTGCAGTGCATCTTTGGTGCCTCATCAGTCACTGAGTGGTTGACACAGACGCCTGACACTTCTAGCAGCTGTGAGGAATCTGCTCCTGTGATGGTATCTGGAAAGCGTGCCAGGTTGCGGATCACCGATGGGCATTTCTTGTAGTACACGCGCACAGAGACCAGAGCGATGCAGGCACCCACATCCTGGAAAGCAAGGTAAAATCCTTTTTTTGTTAGAGGCCCAACATCTCTCACTTCTGTGTTCAGCTTCATAACTCTGTCGCCGAGGTCTAACTCCGTGAAGCTCTCATCAGCAGCAATGGTGTCTATTTTGATGTACTGATTCTCTCTGATGTTCCTCCCATCTTCATCATCTGACTCAAAGTAGTACATGTTAAAAGTCTCTTTGCAAGTCCCAAGTCCTCCTGGAAGGCTGTTGCAGTCCCTCAGGGTGAATTTGAGTTCAATGAAGATGCGGGATGCCCCTTCATTAGAGATCCAGCTGGTCAGAAGCCAGTTGTTCTGATTCTGTTCCATTACCTTGCATACTTGGTATGTGTGTATCGGAGCATAGTTTTCATCCACCTCACCAATTTCTTCCCACTGTGTAAAGAGAAAAAGTATTACTTTTTTAAAAGTTACAACTTCCCCAAATCTTAGTTTTCCCATGGAAGATCACTTTGGAATTCAGAAGTTTATACTAGAAGAAATACTTAATGCAGGAAACTTAATGGAGAAAAAAAAATGATTTATATGGCAGTGTTTTCCATACTGGAAGCTTGATACATACTCGATAATAAATGTGTAGTTAAAACACCTGTTAGAAATATAAAAAGATGCTAATTAAAACCTTCTAGTTCAGACTTTTTTGAAGTGAGAAAACATACCACCAGGTCTTCCCACTAGCACTCCAAATGACAAAACAAAAGCAGATGGGGCCATGGGTTGGCCTTTTCCTATCATACACACAGGTGAAAAGCCATTTACAGTTCGTCTGTCCCTGCTTCCCCAGGTTCCTTTCTATCATGTCCTCGAATCATTGCCCTGCACAATGAAGACAAGCACATTTCTCTAGCTGATCTCTCCCACTGAACCATTTGTCATAAAAATCAGCAGTGGTGTACAAAGTAAACGTGCCCCTGCTCCCCAAGAGCGCTAGTCACTGGAGTTTCTGCTCATGGAAAGAACAGAATAATTTCAACAGAAAAGGTGACAGGAACGTGAAAAGCTCGAACTGTTTTGAACACGCTAGGCAGGTTTTTAATATAACTTCTCCCAGCTGTTTACGGCAATTGTAACAGCTACTTTGTTGTTTTAATTTTGGTCACACACTAGACTGAATCACTTGGAAAGAATGCTTTTTCCTGGTCCAGCACTGCAACAATGCCTACAATAGGAACATGCAACATTAACATTTCCTTTCTGCTTTTTGACAAGTGCAGTATCACATTAAGAGATTAGATTAACCCACATGCAGTAGAGAAGTCAGGAGAACTAGTGATATCAGTTCTGTTCCTCTCACCTACTTCTGACCTGCTCATCTATAGGGGCTTAATTCCCAAAGCCTCTGCTGAGTGCTGCTGCCTGCTTCTAATTACAGCTGTGAACACAGAAGGTAATTTAAAGGTGCTTCGATACAAGATAATAGCTATATTCCAAGCTGAACATTTTCCAAGGACAAAGGCCAAGATTTTATTGGGAACAGTGCCTGAGATGGAGTCAAGGGCCTTCTCAATCCAGATCCCATTACTGCAGAGCTGACAGAGAACACCCTCAGAGTGAACATAACGATGACATTTTTTTCAGGGAAATGCTTTTCTTAAATTTTATATGAATATGACAGCAACAAGTAGCATGAAAGCTTCATGCAATGCTACAGTCCCAAATAAATTAAGTACCAGAAGAAATATACAATTTTTTCTCCCACATGTACCCTTCCTCCCTGACCTGAGAGATAAGAGCATGGACTTGAGCAGTTTTACCCAAAGATGCACCTGCTGTGATGTGCAAAGCTCACAGGTACCACCCATCTCCTAAGCAAGGAGCCTCACCTAAGGAAATTTTTCTCATCTTTATTTCAAAATGCTCCACACATCTCTGTGCTTAAACAGGCTGTGACCTATCCTGCTGTCAATTTATCCCTCTGGCAGTACCACAGATGAAACTGGGGAGATGCCTATGGCTAAAGCAAGGCAGACCTGAGCAGGATTCATGCCTAACTTTGGGGAGAAGCAGTTTCTTTTGACATGAAACCATAGAAATGCAAGGTCTTTTTTATCTAGCTGGAGATTCCCTTTGAGGAGGAAGAGCGTTTCATTTTTCCACTTCTACCTGAGGTGTAGGTCCCTGCTGCAATGACCTCAGTAACTTTTGCTCCTTGCAACTGAAAGTTTGAATGATCCTCCGCCAAGTACGCCAACCAGCAGGTATGGGAAGTGCTCAGTGAAAAAAGTTTGCAATGAAAACTGCTGAGGTCAAACCGTTTCAGTAAGTGGAGATGTATGTGGAAGGCCACAGAATACAGTGCAACTCTATATAACATTTAGAGGGTATCTAATGGACATTTCTTCCAGAGAGCTGATGTTTGCAGAGACTGTGATGTTACAATCATTTTGTTAATGATTTAGCTTGAAAGCATACCAAATATCCTCAGAAAAACACTTCTTTAATTCAGATCAATTTTCAAAGGCAACCATTATGCTCTTCACTCACAAAATTAAGCATATTTCCAAGAGTTAAGCTCAGTTCCAATTGTTGTTAGTGAAAGTAGAAGAAAGCTCCTTTGTTCAACAATGAAATCCAGTGATTCTAATGGTTGCTTTCATTTCCTGAGAGCAATTAACAGTGAGGAGGAAGAATCAAGTACTGAGCTGAGGTCACATCTCAGTTGCAACAAAAGCCACATCACCTAACATCTCAGACTTCTGGCTATGCTGCCCCTCCAGCAGGGAACCCCAAATCCAGGCAATCCTGCCATCAAATCTCAAGCAACCAAAGAGCAAGAGAAAAGAGGATTACCAATGAGTTAAGGCTGCTCACCTCTGCATAATCCTCAAGGGAGAACCAAGTAGATTGTATCAGAGCCATCACTATTGTATAAAATCTCTGCTCTGCCATCTAATCCCATCTCACTCTTTCCTATCTGCATTTGAGAGTGCACCATTTCTTTCTCTTCCAATTAGCACAGCTGGGTCTGCCTCACCCAGGAGACTGCAGGCAGCCTGCCACAGCTCTGCTTTTCCATCCCTCCTTGAGGAGGAGACAGAGAAGAGAGCCTTGGCACCTTCCGCCTGGTTGCAGCTTCCCAATTATCGCAGACCTCAGACAACTCCTTCAAATAATAAAGGAATACAAACTAGCTACAAACTGTGCAGGATGAAATGTTGCACTGTAATGGTTAATGAAAAAGAAAACACAACACATTAAAATGACAGCATCTAGCTGAAAATATTTGCACAAAAAAATATTAAGTACAACTGAACAAAATGTGTAACATTTTAATTCCTCTCTGCAGCACATATTTTTGAAATATAAATCAACCCCATCTGCAGGATTAAAACAAAAATGCAACATTAATTTGGTGCTAAATGTTCTCTCTAAGTCTTTAATAGCTGTAAGAAGGAAAACACAAATGCATTTCAATGGCCTGATGTTAAATCATTTATAGAAGACCTATTTCTGAATCAGAAATTTCCAGTACGCCACTGCAGGCAAGTTAACAGGCTCTCGAGATGCACTCGGCTTCATCAATAGGAAGCAAGTAATTCATGCACACCGTCTGCCTATGGAAAGGCCAAAGATATCACACATTCAAATAATACACATATAAGAGCTAAAAAGCATTCAGTGGGGCAGCCTTAGGTTAAATGGACAATTCTAAAACATTCACTATCTGTCTGCTGGTCAGGCATGTTTCTAATCACTGGGATTCCAGGACTGCAATGTGCTACCGCAGCACAGCAAAAGCTGCTGCCCCAAAAACAAATACTGACATAGGAAATGAAGATTTCAAAGCTTTTATTTGGCCTTTAATGGGTTTTTCTGCTTTTTTTTTTTTTTTTTAGGGAAATTTTTATTACTTGTCTCCATCTGAAGCAGCCACCAAAGTTGGCAGGCACATTTCAAGCCCAATTCCACACATTTCAGGGCTGCTAAAAGCAATTAGGCATTTAACCAAATCCTAGGAGTCAAAAGAGGGAAGGGAAGCTTAAGAGCATTAAGCAAAGGGGTTCCCAGGACTACCCAGAAACCCAAGCAGCACTTCCTTCATTCTGTACAAGGACTATGCAAGCTACTTCTGCTGCCACTGCCTACTTCACAGGTTTCTGGGTGCAAGAAGCCTTACTTCCTTCCCCATTAGTCCTCTCTCATTCTTCCATACAGAATTGTGCAACTTATGCAGGATAACTTTGCAAGCTGCTGAATCAAAGATGTAAAATTCAAAGAGGTTTTAAACATTTTCATCCTTTTTCCTCTCGAGAAAAATGATTAAGTTTCCTATTGCATGTCATCCTCTCCAATATCTTCTTTTTCCCCTTCACACTCCCCAACATAACCAACTCTCTGCCTCTTGTCTCTCAGCATCTCTATAGCAGCCCTGGTCTCTTTCACCTGCACTTGGCCACCAGTTCCACACTGTTGTTATGTAACTTTGCTTTTCCTACCCTTTTCTTTGACTGCTCCTTCCTACATTGGGCAAAGAACTTGAGCACAGCATTATCCAAGGAAGCCCTGCCAGAAGGGCAGGCCAGCACAGTGCTCAGCTCTGTACCATTCCCTCTGCCTTCCATCCCAGCAATATCTGGGCAGGCTCTTCAATTACCTTTTATGCTATAAAACTATAGACTATATATACTATATATACTGTACTTATATACAGACTATATACAAGTCTGATGTTCAGACCTGGCTGCCAATCAACAGTCCCCAGCTCAGTTCCCACATGCGTTTTTTCTTCTCCCAACCAGAACCAGCTCCTGCCATCAATTTGTTGCTCTCCCTCATCCCAGAGCCCCACAGTTTGGGCTTTTTTTTTTTTTTTTTTTTTTTTAAATCTGCCTACCAGCTTTTCCCCTGCTATCATTTTCCAGCATTAAAGCAAATAAGTGCACCTGAGCAGGTTCTCCTCCTCATGGCTTTATTGACTTCAGCAAGGTTGAGTAAGGCTAAATCTCTAGTGAAAGCCAGGCAGAGTTCTGCACACCATTTTCTGCAAGGCTGGAAGTTTAGCAGCATTGTGCTAGCTATAAAGTGACCATGACACCATCCTTCCTGCTACAAAACACCACTTTGACACATTGGCCCAAATTTTAACCACTTCAAAGCCTACCACCAATATTGCCAGTTTTATCTCATGTCCTATGATCTATTGCCACTGTGCAGATTTTCAGCTTTTTGGAGCCGTAGGATTTAAGGACAGGCTGGTTTTCACTGAGGGCGTTTCAGTTTTCAATGAAAGAAAAGCAAAGATGCAGCAAGCAGCTGAAGACTTAGAGAACAAGCGTGCCACTGCATACCACCTCCATATACACAGCTAAATGGCTTTGCCAACTCCCCTCCACCACTTTTGGATCACTGGGTCCCACTTTAAGTAGTGGTCAGAT